TTGCCAGAGACAATCTAAAGATTACAGAAGTAGCTTTGTTTCAAGCTGTAGTTCGATGGGCAACAAAACAATGCGAAAAGCAAGGTTTAGTGGCAGACGGTAAAGTGAAAAGACGAATTATTGGAGAAAGAGCAATAAAAGCAATACGTTTCCCATTAATGACGATAGAGGAGTTTGCCTCCGTCGTCATTGATACAAATTTGTTGACGACAGAAGAGACAAATGGATTGTTTAAGTTTTTTGCAATACCCCGGCACAGTGCTCCCGTCGAATTTCCTAAGAATGAAAGACGTCGACCTCGCATCGTTCGCTGTGAAAGGTTTGGTTCAGTGAAGGGAACTTGGAAATATGGATTAGCAAAGGACTATCTTAGTTTAACTGTGGATAAAGACATCAAATTACTTGGAATTTCCTTGTTTGGTAGTGAGAACAACAGCTACAAAGTAACATTGGAGGTAAAGAATGCCGATAATAATACAACCATGGTGTCCAAATCAGGAACATATCCTTCAAACATTTTGCCCTCTAAACGCCATCGATATTATGGATACGAAGTTTTGTTTGACTCAGCAGTTCTTTTGAAAAAGAATATTAGGTATAACATCGAAGCTTTTATAACTGGTCCTGCCTCTGAAAGAGGAGAAAAGGGATTTGATACCGTGAAGGAGTCGGGTGTTACATTTACATTTTCGACAATTGAAGGCAAGTTAGACTCTAACGGTACAAGTCATAGCAGTGGTCAGTTTCCTGAGTTTTTGTTTTCTGTTTAGAGCCGGTTTTTTAAACCCATTTTTACAATTTAATTGTTACAGTATTTACTGCTTTATTCGGTATTTGCTTGTGTTATATATTCTTGTTCTTGTGTTGTATATTCTTATTATAAATCTAGTCGTCATCGTCGTCATCATCATCATCAAGGTATCATCATCAAAAAGAACAAAAGAACTACCTGTAGTCCCAACGTAGCTACTGCCAAATCCTACGTGCTATTGGACATTTAAAAGTTCGAAAACACTACAGGATTTCGGGTGCTGCTATGAATCTTTTCTTTTTTACGTGTAATAAAATCAGAACTGAACCTTGGAACGTCTTAATGTAAGTGTTCAAGACGTCATTCCTTTATAGGTCGTCAGAACTGATTTTTTGGACACGTACTTCGACTGGTGAGCAACAATTTTTTTGCCTTTGTCTTAAGCACAAATGAAGTCGAAGTTTTCTTTGTGGTTGAAGATTAAGTCCTGGATAGCTATTGCTAAGGATGATTGATGCGGAGGTTTTATTCAGACGATAAAAATGATCGTAAACGTTTTACAACTCAGTCAGTTTTCAGTGTTACAAGTATCTTTACCGTGAAACCCCGTTCAAGTGTTTTTCTTCCTCTTGGGCAATTTTGTCGGCGTGTTACCGCAAAAATGAAAGTACTCAAAGCCAAGAGCAAAGTAATCCCAAGCTATTTCCCCAACCGGAGATTTTAATTTGGGAAAAGGGTCTAGTGAAACCCTGCAATAGGGAGTTCAGCGTTGATATCACCAGGTCCACGGTCTGGGAGAGAAGGTAGCTGGTTCGGTACAGAGGATATTGTGAAAGAGTCCAGTGTTACGTTTACATTTTCTTCCTTAGATAGGGAAGACCACAACAATTCAAACGTTATGTTTTCAGAGGTCAATTTTCAGTCAGAAATTCTGTTTTCCATTTAGGTAAGGAGTACATTCTTCACAGTGTATCCTCAAACTTCTAAACCTTTTTATATTGCTACACGGGCACGTTCAGTGTAAGGATCGACTGCACAGATTAGAAACGTCGAATAAATTCAGAAACAAGTCATATCGGCTGGCGATGGTGGGAGGGTAGGGGTGATAGGGATAGGGTGACGCAAGAGAGTCTCCTTCCTAGTTTTTCTTAGCATGTAATCAAATCAAAGTAGTTTCACTATTCAGCTGATTTTAAATACCAGCCTGCGAAACCAGTCGTTTCTCATCGCTCCTCGTCGCTAGGGACTTTTCAAAATGTCTCTGGGGGGCTGTTTTCCCAGGCTACTGATTTATTTTACGGGAATCACCAATCGCACTGTGGCGCACGGCCTTATTAAATTCCATAGTCTGCTGTTTTGGTGGCCGCTGAGGCTGCTCCAATGTTAGTTTTTTCTTAACTAAAACTCTTCATGGTAAGATTAGCGCATAAAAAACCGTAGAGAGCAGTTTGCTGTTAAATTTGCCTATTTAAAGATCAAAATAATCGTACAACTTTACCCCTTTTTTCATTTAAAAGGCTTTCTGGAAAAATATGTTGCCTGTAAGCAGGCTCCCAGGGAAGATGGAAAAATGCAATTAGAGAGATTAAGATTCACGTTTACCGCAAACGGCAAACGTCAGACTCAAGTTGAGAATTTCTCAGAAGAGAAAATAAACAGATAAAAACAGTCCCGAACGATTCCTATGATTAAAACTGGCATAAAACTACTTACTTTTTAGTTGAAGTAATAAACAGTTAACGATTATTAAGGGAAAATCTTGGTCACGTGGTACAAATTCACATCTGCCATTTGGCGTAAACGTGAATCTTAATCTCTCTAATGTGCGGGCCTAACCTCATATGAATGCAACAAGGCTAAACCTGTACACGCCAGGGCTATGATAGTTTTCAGTAAAAGCCTCTTAACAGGAGTATACTAATGTAAATATAAAGAATTATTTTCTCTTTAGTTTTCACTTTTCTGTAATAAAAAGCAACTTATATACTACTGTACCTGCGATTTATTTCTTTATCTATTCTATTTAATCCTGCATACTTAGAAAAGGGCACGGATAGAAAACAAGTATTATAAGGATTTTATTAACCACCTCACCTCTCTACAATTGACCCACACTTTCAGAGGTAGAAAAAAAAGACAGCAAATGAAATGAAATTTAACAAAACTTTAACAATGCAATTCAGTCCAGTTTTTTCGAATAGTGAATAATAACATTACTCCTCGTTGTACGATTCAAAAAAAAAAAAAAACGTGGAGGAAACTTTAAGGTTAACTATTTTCTCGTATAAAGATCGAGAGAACCAAGTCTCCATTGGACTTGCTTGTCATAGAGATGGATTTAACCTCTCTCTCCCAGGATCATTCTGTTTATCGTTACAGTGGATATAATGCCGTTGCCCAGAAATCCACAAATTTGTACTTAACTCGAGGAGAAACGTCGGAAACGTATATAATTCTGACTTAAGTTTAGGAGCCGACCACTTAACTTACGCAAATATTTGGAATGTTTTCTGACTGCATTTCTTGGTTCGGAACAGTGACTACACTAAAGTGCTAGACGTTTCAATTCTAGTCGTTAGTCCAATAATTGACATCCTTCAGTAAACCTAAGAGTGCGGGTAATGCAGATGGAGCATTAAAGGGAGACTGAGATTCAGTTTTTAAAAGGCACTGAAAGTCCACAAGAGATCGTGCATGGTAAAATAGGGGCAAACGGAAAAGCTCTTTTAATTACCACTTGCCCTTATATTGCTTCTAACATGTTGCTGAACCATTTTGATTCCCTTCTTCTGATGACATATAAAACTATAGGGAAACTGTACAGTGGCCATTTTTGTACCTCTTTGCACGGATGGGGTAGATTTGGAAATTTATCGTAAAGTTTGTGTTGCCTATTTTGCGGAGCGATTTTCGAAGACTCAACAAATCACCGAGAAGTCAGGCCGTGTACTGCTGTAACTACTACTTTTAGACCTTTTATGGTGTTCTTTATGGTTTAACGTGTTACAAAAGCAATACATCCACTTCCGTTCTCTGTGCACATTTCGTTATCATTGTTCTTATGTAATACAGTACAAAGTAGTAATGTATAGGGGACGCAAAAGAGTCTCCTTCCTATAGTTTTCCTTAGCCCGTGAAGACTTGACTCAAAATGCAAGACAGTGCTTTACTTTCCTCCCTGTTTTTTATTTTTATTTTTCAAAGAAATCGATTTCACTACAAGTACAACGAGGAATTATGGTATCATTCGCTATTCGATAAAATCGGAGTGAATTGAATTGTTGAAGTTTTAACTAAAATTTACATTGTAATTTGCTGCATTTCTTTTTCTGCCTTTGATTGTGTGGGTAAGCGGGATGTTCATTTGTCTTCATACATTAGCTTATTAGTGGTAGTATTTTTAAATAATCATAATTATTTGTAAATAATCGGCTAATTCAACCTCTCGGTTACGATGTGATTATCAATAAACTATTTAGCTATCTTGTACCTCTTTGCAAGGCGAGGTAGATTTGGTCATTCATGATGTTGCCATAGTGTTGCCCATTTTGCGGAGCGATTTTCGAGGGCTTTACAAATCGCCGAGAGGCCAGGCGGTAAGCCGCTGCAGCCACTGCTTTTAGACCCTTTATGTCTTCGTAGTGGTAACCACTGTTACTGTCCTGGGCCCGGTTGCATAAAAGCTACACTTAAGTGCCCACTTTAGTAGGTCACTTACGAATCCGTTATGGGCACACTTACGGGTGTTGCATGAAACGCACTTAGCACTCTCGTAAGTTACTGTTTTACGTGGTAACTTACGGACTCACTTAAAAGCACACGTAACTTTGATATATTACTTTATTAATAACTCACTCTTTTTTTTAAAGCTAACCATCGGTGAGTGTAAAGAAATTTTTTAGTCGTTTCGAACACTTTTAAGCCTCTCAAAAAAATGAAATTTGCACGCAATCGTTATTTTTCTTCGATGTCTACTGAAAATGATAATTCTTCTTTTTTCACAACGTTGGCTTAAAGTGTACATCAGAAAGCGCATTAGAACGAATTACGTGAAGAAAAATTACTTTTTTTCACTTCTTAGTAAAAGATCTTGTTAACTTTAGTAAAAACAGTAACGATACGGGACCTACATAGGTCCCGTAAATTTACGAGCTATTTTTCCCGTAAAAAACTTTTTATGCAACACCCGCAATTTCTGTTGCGTAACCGACACTTAAGTGAACACTTACGAAAATCGTGAGGGCAACCACTTAAGTGAATTCCCTAAGTGGACCACTTAAGTGATTTAATGCAACTCACTTAAGTTACGAGTGCACGTACGTATACCCGTAGTTGTTACGGGCGTTTTATGCAACCGGGCCCTAGTCATGTATCCAGGCTGCTTTATGAATTTATGCTATCCGAAGGTTTCGTGACCTCTTGAGTGACATTTCGTGATATTGTGCGACAGATCGCTTTACGTTTTTAATCACATTTAATTTGTATTGGGCGTGTGAGGGTATCATTTGTTGCTCCTAGTGGACTCAAAGTGAGTTCTTAGGTGTAAAGTTTAAAAAAAGGCGAGATATTTTGACTTCTTACCACAGGCCGACTAAACGAATATGTCTACCGAAACAAACTGGCAAACGACAAGACCCACTATCAGAGAAAGAGGCAAGTTTATGCTCAACAACGATCGCTTGAGCGATGTCAAGTTTGTTGTTGCAAACAGCAATGGCGAAAGCGAAAGTAAGCAAGTGATTGCAGCTCACAAATTCATACTGGCGATTGGCAGTCCTGTGTTTGAAGCCATGTTTTACGGTGAACTGCTGGAGTCTAGAGACACTATTGAACTGCCTGACTGTGATTACGAGAGTCTGTTGGAGTTGTTTCGTTACCTGTACAGTGATGAAGTGAATTTAAGCGGAAGTAATGTGATGGGAGTGTTATACTTGGCCAAGAAATACATTGTGCCTTCACTCACTGATAAATGCGTGGAATATCTGAAAGGAAAGTTAGATCCTTCCAATGTGTTCAGCGTTCTGCCATCTTCATTGAAATATGAAGAAAAAGCCCTTGAAGATCGATGCTGGAAAGTGATTGAGAATCAGACCGAAGCGTTTGTGAAATCGGAAGGATTTGAGACAATTGAGAGGTCTTTACTTGAAGCAATAGTCGCAAGAGACACTCTGACGATTGAGGAGGTAGCCTTGTTTAAAGCTCTAGATGGCTGGGCAACACGACAGTGTGAAAAGCAAGGTTTGGCAGCAGAAGGTCAAATAAAAGAAGAATCCTGGGCGACGAAGTCATAAAAGCAATACGCTTTCCAGTGATGACTGTTGAGGAGTTTGCTGATGTTGTTCTTGATACTGACATTCTTCATCCAAATGAAACAGCCATCCTTTTTAAGTTTTTCCTCCCAGCATTGCCTTCCCCCCCACTGCCTTTTTCAAATACTCTGAGACATGCACCAAGTAGTCCCCTTCGCAACATTTCTTTTGAGGACCTCTTTGAGGACGATTTGATTTGGTGAATAGGGGTAGAAATTGGGCTTACCCAGGACACAAAAATGACCTTTTAGCTCTTTTTGTGAATCGACATATTACTTTACATGGAGTCTGTTTGTTTGGCAGTGCAAACAACAGCCACACACAGTAACACTGGCGGTGAAGGACACCACTGAAAAACTACCATGGCTGTCACGGCGATTTTTCACCCCCATTTTGCGGGGACATTAATTACTCACGCTGAGAGGCATTTTACCCTCATTTTCACTAATTATTTGGCTAAAACGAAAGACACTTAAAGGGATATCGATATATATAAGTATGCCTAGTGCAATGGACATTTATATTGATCCACTTATCGACCAGCATAAAAATGCTATAAAAATGCTCGAAAAAATGAAATTAATGTACACAAAAAATGAGCCTGGGGCTAAGCCAGCAAATGAGCCCAAGGCTAAGCCATGCTATACCGAATTTATGTTTGTAGATGATGAAATATTTGATGACGAATTATTTGAAGAGCTACTAGACCCAGATTATAAATTATATGATGAGATCCAAGATATGGAAGAAGATGATGAAATAAATGGGTATAATGATGTGGACGAAATTGATGATAAACATTTTGAGCCTGAGGCTGAGCCAGAAAATAATGAATCAAATGAACCTGAGGCTGAGCCAGAACATGATTATCCAAAATATCGAATATATGAGCACCCTAAATTTGCTGAATATTATGACGAAGCATTTAACCACGACCGTATATTAAAAGATGTCAATTGCGGAATTTATTTAGTAATACCAGTAATAAGTTACAAAAATTCAACAAAAATGACACTCATGATTGAAGACAAGGAATATGATTATCATAAATTTTTTAAAGAGTGCCATGGCATAAAGCCATTAACAAAAGAACAACATGAATATTTTGATAGAAAACGCGAGGCACGTAGATTAGAAGAACAAATGAAACGAAAAAAAAAGACGAAATAAAAAGTAAAAAAAAAGTAGTTAGTAAATGAGCTCAATATAGATAGGTAGTTAGTATAGTAATCCGGATTTTAGTTTGTTTTTTATTTAGTTAGTTGGTTGGCCAATTTAGCTAATAATTCAGGGGGTAATTTTATGCTAGCAGGGGGTATATTATCTTGTTTAGGCTTAGCCTGTCTTTTGGTACCAGTTTTATTCAATAAATGGGGAAACAAAAACCGGTAAATAATTATAAGAACTATGACTTGGTTACGTCTCATGCGCGTAACAGCAAAGGTCAGGTGTTTCATTTTTATTACCTCCTTTTTTAGTTCTTGTCATGTAAACGTATTTAAATTTTTACGTAATTTTACAATGTCGAGATCCATAAATATATAAATACGGTAGATAAAATAATTAAACATTGTATTAGGTTCCGGTTACCCAGATCCTAATACAAGTACCAAAATATGATACATGTAATGCATGGCATACATGGATATATATAAATAGGCTTTCCAATTCGGTGGATAACTTTATAATGTGTTTTTCGTGTTTCCTTAGTAAGGAACAGTTTTCCACAGTATTTACATGGTACTCTCATGCCCCGCATACATTCATGTATAACTTTGGATATTTTGTCATAATTATTTGACAGGATAAATGTATAGCCATTATCAACATACCGTTTTTTCATCTCTTATTGTGCATCTTAAACTCGGTATATATTGGTGGAAGATTTGAATTCAATGCTAAGGCCTTCAAAATCTTTGTGATAATTGAGTACCATCAGATCAGGCTGTCCTCTCACATATCCCTTTTTATATGAGTCGAGTCTCTTATCCTCAGTATCCTGATTCTCCCCGAGACCGGCTACTAAGATTGAATCTGGGTAAAATTTTCTTATGAAATCCACAACTTTGTAGTGTAAATCAGTCTCATTGCCAATCATAATCATGTGGTTATTTGGATGGTCAAACATTTTGTACTGGCCATATTTTCTTATGGATGGGAGTACATGAGAGAATACCCAATCGCAGAATTTTTTTGCAGCTGGTAATTTTGATTCGAAAAAGTAAGTTCATAAAAACCAGCTTCATCAATAAAATAGGTCTGCGACCAACCAGGTGAAAAGCCCGGTTGCCTTGAGAGCTGTTTTATCTTGTGTTCTTCTGAAACATGCTTTCTAATGACGTGTGTCAGCATATCCGAGGATTTTGGCAACATCTTTACCCTTGAACCAGATATTTTGTTTATTATCTATGAATGAAGTCAGTTCTATATTCAACTCATCATTGAAGAATGTCTTTTCCAACATATATACCATTATATATAGCACATATTAATATCTCTTTAAGCCATTTACTCTTTCTCCTCCCCTTCCGTTTCAAAGATCACTCTTAGGATGCCTTTTAAAGTCGTCACTATAACCCAACCATTTCACAAGAACTTGTTTCTTCTTATAATCCTTCCGAATGACTTTTTCAATGCGGAATACATCTGTTTCGCATTTAGTAATTCCGGTTCATAGAAGCTGCCTTGTATTTCCTCGTTGTTGAGATCCTTTAACCTGTAGGTAATTGGATTTGTGGATTGGATTTTGTCGACCAGGAATAGCTCTTCAGTCCAATTAGGTGTGTAGCCTTTATCAAATATTTTTCTCTTACATTTACTTATCCTGACTTTATCACCAACCTTGAATTTGGGTTTAGATGCCAATTGCTCCATATAGGTTAAAATACACGGCACTTTCATTCTTCTTTTTACTGACTTCTACAGGTGTCATTTTAATGGAACTGTCCTTAGTGTTGTTACACTGGCTCAGTATTTTTGATAGTATGTCAAGATACTGAGTATTACCCTGGACAGTAAACTGCTTCCACATTTTGGTTTTAATTGTGCGGTTCCATCTTTCACAAACACTAGATTTTTCTTCATTTTCGGTTGCGTATAGTGCTATGCCATTCTTTTCCAACAGTTCCTTCATATTTTTGTTATAATATTCTTTCCCTTTATCAGTCCAAAGATATTGTGGCTTACGCCCCTCTTGAAGATGGTTTTGAATGCCTCTGTGACAGTTTCTCCTTTTTTATCCATCAATGGAACAATCCAGCCATATTTGGAGAACAGATCTAACACCATGAGAAGATATCTATAACCTTTGTTAAACTTGCTGAACCGTTGCATTTCAACCAGATCTGAGCACCAAATTTTGTCGATACCGTTTAAAATAACTTTTACCGCCGCCAACAAATTTTGCTTTTAGGGGCATATTATTCAACTGCAGAGATAGAATTTTTAGGAATTTTTCAATACTTTTTTTTAATCCAAAGCTATACGTAAGTTTAGTTTTGACCAAATGTTTGGAACGTCTTAGATTAATTTCGCTAATTCGCAATAAGTTAACATTCCCAATTAGGTAATTAGTTCTAAGCCTCCTTCTGACATTGACCATTTTCAATTATTACTATTATTATTAATGATGTAGTCACCCAACTAGTTTTTATGTGAACCTCTATTCACGTGCCGGTGTCCAATTACTGTAAGTATTTTTAAAATAATTATACTTCTTGGATCTTCCTTTAGTTGTCTACAGTAGAAAAATAAAGTTGTTGTGGTTGTCGTCGTTGCTTGCTGGTCATGACCGGAGAGGAGTTTGCTGTTAACGTCCTTGATACAAAAAGGTCACAAACATTCTAACTTCTGGCCCCAGTTGTTCAAACGTTGGACAGCGCTATCTACTGGATAAAAATCTATCCAGTGGATAATGCAGTCGGTTTCCCTAATACATATCCGCTGGATAGTGATTTGTCCGGTGGATAGCGCTATCCAACGTTTGAACAACCGGGGCCAGATGAGAGAGGTATAAACCTGCTCCAGCCCTGTCACGCTTTCTAAGACTCCGCGGGCCGGAAATTGAGCCATGCTGCAGCCGTGCATGTTCTCCGACATAGTGGTGGAATTACCACAGAGAGCGCAGTAACTTGCGTGCTCTGTTTCATTGTAGACAAAAACATTGCGGTTAATGCACATGGGATATTGAAGGAGGTAGACACTAAAAGTGTGGCAAAATCGGGGCAAGCAGGAGAGCATAGAGGAGGAGAAACTGTTTAGTGGCGCTGGCATGGCGATGACCTTTTTTTTACTTCTTTGCAAGGCGGGGTAGGTTTGCATGGTCATCCACCATGACGCTAGTGTTGCCCATTTTTTCGGAGCGTTTTTTGAGGGCTTTACAAGTCGCCGAGAAGTCAGGCCGTGAACCGCTGCAGCCACTGCTTCTAAACTTTCTTATGTTTTCTTTATGGTTTAAGGAGCGACAAAGGCAATACAAACACCTCCGTTCTCAACGCCAATTTTGTTAAAACAATGCGTCTTTTAGTTGCTGTGAGGTTAACTTGTCCATTGATTTCTTGAAACAGGGCTCCAGTACAATGGAAACTTATAAAGAAATTCAAACGAGTATTTTTTTGTATTATAGTCTCCAAAAAATTTTTAGTTCGACGTCCGAAATGGCGACAATTGAGAATGAAGAACGATGGCTTCGTAATGGCAACCACTGTTGTAGTCCTAGTGATGTGTCTAGGCTGCTTTTGAAGGTTTCGTGACCTCTTGAGAGACATCGCGTGATATCGCGTGACGTATTGATATCAAGTGATAATTGCTCGTGTGCGGATATCATTTGTTGCTGAACTCAAAGCGGCTGCTTAGGTGTGAAAGTTACTAAAAAGGGGGGATATTTTGACTTCTTACCACAGTTTGACTAAAAGAATATGGCAATGTCTACGGAAACAAACTGGCAAACGACAAGACCCACTATCAGAGAAAGGGCCAAGTTTATGTTCAACACCGATCGATTGAGCGATGTCAAGTTTGTTGCCACGGAGAACAACGGCGAAAGCGAAAGTAAGCAAGTGATTCCAGCTCACAAATTCATACTGGCGATTGGCAGTCCTGTGTTTGAAGCCATGTTTTACGGTGACCTGGCAGAGACTGAAGACACTATTGAACTGCCTGACTGTGATTACGAGAGTCTGTTGGAGTTGTTTCGTTACATGTACAGCGATGAAGTGAATTTAAGCGGAAGTAATGTGATGGGAGTCTTATACTTGGCTAAGAAATACATAGTGCCTTCACTGGCTGATAAATGCATGGAATATCTACAAGAAAACTTAGATCCTTCGAATGTTTTCACAATCCTGCCATTCGCAGAGAAATATGAAGACAAAAACTTGGTGGATCGATGCTGGATAGTGATCGACGACGGGACAGATGAAGCGGTGACGTCAGACGGATTTGAGAAAATTGAGAAGTCCTTACTTGAATCAATAGTCAAAAGAGACACTCTGTCGGTTAAGGAGGTAACTTTGTTTCAAGCTGCAGATCGATGGGCAACAAAACAGTGCGAAAAGCAAGGATTGGAAGCAGATGGACAACTGAAAAGGCGAATTCTTGGTGAAGAAATAATAAAATCAATACGCTTTCCAATAATGAGTGCTAAGGAGTTTGCAGATGTCGTCCTAGATACTAACATTCTTCATTCAAATGAAATAGCCCTGCTATTTAAGTTTTTTAACTCATCATTGTCTTCTCCTTTAATGTTTTCAAAGACTCCGAGACAAAGCCGTGCTAATCGTTTTAATCGCCGATGTGGAAGTTTTGAAGAGTCGCAGGACTGGCACTCATTCGGTGGCTATCCCCTGTACACGGAAACAGATAACTTTAGAATCTGCGGCAATTGTGGAAGTGAAGTCCGTCAAATTGAAACCTGGTGTCCATGTTGTGGTTGTCGTATACGTAAAAGCTGGTAATATAAAAATATCATATTTGCGTTGCTTTTGGATATGACAGCCGCGAGTTGATCAAAAGCTACTTTCGCACGTTGTCTGGGACAGGAAAGAAAGTGTATGCCTAAAAGAACTCATATATGGGGCGCACAGCTTTCTTTCCTATTCTTCAGATCAACTTTTACCACTACTTTTCATCTACTCCCGATCCACAATCCCCCGGGGTCGACGGAAGCGAAACGAACAAGTTTAAATTTCGTACATGAAGTACTTCGTCCAATTCCAAAGAAAACCGCGGATCAAATCGTATGGTTCGTTGTGCCATCAGTTAATCACAGGTAACCAAGGTTCACTTTTTGTGTCTTGTACGGGTTGCCTCGTATAAGAACCCAGATTTTTCCAACGTAGGCTAAACAAGTTCTTATAGAAATGGTATTTAGTGGGATTTTAGGCAACTTAGGACCTTAAATAGAGTCTTAATTAGGGGCACCAGTGATCGGCACAGATAACTACTACGGGGCATATGTGATATGGAATGTATTGCTGTATTAAATAAGAAAATATACGAAATAGCTTTTTGGTGAGTATTTCTCAGTATGTAAATAATAATTATTTAGAATACAGTTTAGATGATAACCATACAGTACATTTATCTTTCCAAAGTACTAGCATGGATGTCTTTCATATGCTGCAGTGTTACATTTGAAATCTTACTGAATGAAACCTAGACTAAATTTTTTTTTCTGTAGTTTCATCTGTGCCTTCATTTTTGTAAAATTTTAGGCTAAATAGGTTTTTATAAAAAGGGGCTTTAAAATGAAAATTTTAGACTAACAGGTTCTTAAATTTTAGGTTTTATACGTGGGTTTTCACTGTATAATATGAGTAAATAAAAAGAACTGGGGCGAAGTTTAGGTCTAGAATTTGGCAGTAAAAATCGATGAAACTTACGATGTAACGAGCTGTTGTTGTCCTTAAATGAACACGAAGTTTCGGGAAAAATAGTCTTCTTCATCTTTCCAACTTAGTAAAGTGGCCATTTGACGTCAATCGCCCACAGTGATACAAGAACAGGACACGGTTCCTGCAAGGCCGATTAGCGCTAATCCAGGATTAAAAATTTCGTTCCATTTTTTTATTATTTACCTTCCCATGCATTGCTTAGAGTAACATTCTGTGTTATCATCACTGCATCTCGAATTAAAGACACAACAGTATTTTGTTAGCTCGAGTGACATGTTCTTAGACTAAGAAAACCGGGTTCAAAATTTGGCTTAACCATCTTTCGAGGAACCGGGCCCAAAACGTCGGCACCGGCCACTAAAAAAGCACCTGCAATACCTTTCCTTCTTTCTCCCTAGCACCTACCCTAAGGGTTACTAATTTTACTCTCCCTAATCTTCCTCCGTCATAAAATCAAAGATGGCGGTTACAACAATACGAACATAAACAAGACGCTTTCGCCCGCCCAAAATACGCCTGAACTGCAGGCCAGATTTGCCGCAGTAGTTAGGTCAGACAACAACGTAAACAGTAGAAAAGTCACTATAAGTCAAGTTTTTATTTCCCCAATTTGTTTTCTTGTTAGTTTATCGAGTTGTAATGTTTTTTTGCAACTTTCTGTTGGTCAGTCTGCGGACGATTTAGTGACTTTTATTACTGTTTCAGATCTTACTTCCGAGGAGTCGTCAACCACTTTAACTTCGTCAGAACTTGTAATGCAGTTTTAAAAAGTTTATGTGCACGTACTTAATGTGTTGACGATTGGGATTGCTCATTAATCATTAAGACATAAGGGAGTTATAGCAACGACAACGGCGACAAAAAAAGCAACAATCACCCTTTTTTGTACATTTCTTTACCGTCACTGCACGACAACGAGTGAAATTGTCTAATTTCACGTCTCATGGAGGACGTAAACAAGATGTCGAAGAGATGTTCTTTATCTTCCTAAACTTGAAAGCAGTCCCCAAGAAATCATCTCCAGGGAAATTTGCTACATTAGACGATTATTCATTCAGTTAAAAGTGACGTTTTCGCTGCCTTCGTCGAAGCTAAAACTCCCTACAGCCTGCTTGAAAGGAGCCGTCATCCAAGGAACGCCATAACTAATTTGCTTCATTTATAATGTATTACTATGATACATACATGTATACACTTCAATGATTACGTTGCTTAAACATTGCTAGCTAAGTCATTTTTAGGCCCAATTGCCAGTCGCTGCATGTTGTTATCCCCCTCATCTCGAGGAGAACAAGACCAGACAGTAGAGCGGCGAAAATCCAGCCTTATTCACTCTTTGCCTGATAAAAATTGAGTTTTGGTTCAACAGGTACCACCATTTACGATAAAGCTATTGTGCAAACGTTGGTTCCCGCCTTTTTCAGCTAGCCTGTTCCAGGCGTTCAGATCACGTGGGGACAGTGCCAAAAGATGTGAGGAGAAAAAAAAACATCGAGGAGGTGGGGCCCCTGTTTTCCTCCTTGTTTTTTTCTCGCTCTTTTCCTTCGCGCCACACTCCACTATCCGAACGCTTGGAACAAGCTATTTCTCAACGAAGTCGCACAGAAACGCTTGCTATACAGGCTATAAGAAAAGGAGGTTTTGGGGAAGAGGTAATGGTTATAAGATGTTCCATCTTAAAACTGGGTCCCATTTTACAATTATGTATTGCGAAAACAATCGTGAAAATAGCCAATCTAAACTTGTTATATAGGAAAATAACCATCATATTAACTTGTCACAATTGCAAGTTAGCAAGACAGTCTAAAAAACTACAAGAAAAAAACTAAAGTACATTTCGTGTTATTGATACACTCTATAAAAATTATTTTCTTTTGCTGTAATCAATGTTTCATAGCTTGTCTATCGATGCTGAACTGTTGTGTTTTAACTCAAGTTAAGACTGGACTTTTAGACAGGAGTCCAGCTGCGCCTCAATGGAAAAAGTACTGTTTTCACGTCGCTGGGACAAAAAATTAAAAATGAGACAACCACTTCCCTATTTTTTGCGAAATTAACAAGGTTGCTCTCCATTTCTTTTTCCTTTTCTTCTTTCTTCTTCCTCCCCCTTCTTTCTTTTTCGAAAGAGAGGAGCATCACACTTTCCCAGACTTTGAACGTCCGTATCATAGGGGTCACTTAAGCAGCTGACCAGATATAATGTGGCAAAATTCAATCCGATTTAATTCACCACCAAGCTAAAGAGTTCACAATGTGTCTTGGACGTCGTTGAATCTCCTCCAGTTCATTCATGTGTTTTAATCGTCTCTTGATGTTTTTCTCTTTTCCACTAGTGCCCTCCTTCAGTACAAGGAAATAGTGGCACAATTTCTTTTCCTGGATACCAAATCTTCTTCTCCCGTGCATGCGGATTTTCTTTATGTATCTTCCTTTGCCGACAAATGATTCCGCTACAAGAAATAAATGCAAAACAGCTGGGAAATGAGATTACATCTGTATCGTACAATACGCTGACTTTTGCATTAGAGCCTTAAAAAAATTAGTGTTTCCTGTCTGGTTCACAGGCCATTTCTCCATTGAATGGAGCTGAAACAAGACAGGAAACACACTAAATCAGAAAACGTGCTATGCTCGTACACAGGGAGCACACAATTCTGGAGAGATTATCATCTAGGTTGGGAACCACAATTGCCCGAAAGCTGACATCTTCGGTAAACAAAGCTTAGCAATCACAGCCCTGGTTGTTCAAAGTTTTGATAGCGCTATCACCCAGATAAAAATATATTCAGTGGATAACGCAATTGGATTCCCTAATAATTATCCGCTGGATCTAGTTATTTATCCAGCAGATAGCGCTATCCAACGATTGAACAACTGGACCCAGCCTTTAACCTGCAGCAACAGCAAGGTCAATCATTTTCAAGGGTTCTTACTGGACCCGATACTGGACTGAGAAACTGAACTCATCTGGACCCTGTTCACAACTGGGCTGTTCCATGACTTCACACTTATGCTTCTGCCATACTCAGTTTTAAAATGCCTGAACACGTAAATAGCCTTTGCCCAGAAAGAATCCTGATGTTAACAACCTTCCCTTTTTGGCAATACACAGGATAATACATATAATCCATGACCGAGTCCTTTGTGAGAGATTTAAGGCTTATTTTTTATCTTTTATTTTTATTGTTACAACTGACGAAGTACATAATAAAATACATTTTTCTTGTGAAATTGTTATAGTTGAAGGAAATGTAGGTCCATTTACAACCACCCTGGCTACACACAGATATGGACAGCTGAAATATCAAAAATTAATCTGGCATTCGTGCATAATGGTAATTAGTAAAATCCAACTAGTGGTCTATTATCAACGCTGCATTCTGATTGGTTGAGCTACTACTAGGCTATATGTTATAACCCACTAGTAGCGAAAGCAAGAGCTTTTTGGCAGCAAAAAAGGATTAAAGTCTGGCTTTAACTAGCTAAAGATTTTTTATTCTCGATATTTTTGACCAAGTAGTTGGATTTTATTAAAACAATTATTCCTCTCACCCTCATGGCCTCTGAGTCAATAGCCCATTCAGCTTTCGGCCTCATGAGCTATTGTCTCCGAGTCCATTCGGGCTTGAGAAATAATTGTTAAATAGCAAGGTGGCGGCTGACCTATGCCATTGCTGTAATAGTTTTCTAGAGGCAACGTATTGCAAAAGCTAAAGATTAAAGCGCCAAAGACTAGTTAAGTCATCTTGTTTCATACTCACTCTGAAGCTACTACAGGTTATCATACTTACCAATCCACAAATGTTTCTTGTCTTGACTGTCTTCTATTCCATGTTTCTCCTGAGCTATAGCCTGGGCATCTTCAATTGCCTAAATCAGAGAAGAATTATATAGCAACGACTACAAATTCTCTACAACATTAATGTAAAAATAGATGTGGAACTTTGAATTCAGAAGGGAAATTTTGCCTTAATATTTATTGTATTAGGGATATTATTGATGGACATGGCTGCCAAACTTACCTTTTTGATAAACATTGCTGGTCGTTCCTGAAAAATGATACCCTATTCTAGACCCAAACGCTCTGATTTATATACCCTATCCTAGAGTCGGGCCTAGAGTACCCTGGGTTCCAGAGGCTTTTCATGTGCGGTTTCCGGTTTCGGTCAAGTCTTAAAAAGTGACCGGCACGAAAAGCTTGTATCATTCTTTAGTACTAACCGCCGAGGTCAAATATTCATCTCGCGATGATAGCGCTTAAAACAGCACGGAACGGCGAAAAAAACATGACACATGACTCAGTTAACATTTCTTCAAACTTTTATTGAAGAATTTGCTTTAACTGCTGCATTTTGGAACAAATTATAGCCACCGCATTGTTCATATGTATTTGTTCTATAAAGAACAAAAGATTGTTGCTCAGATTTCAATCAACAACGGCCCCCACTAACAGAGGGCGGTTTGCCTGTGGTGTGTCCAGGCTGCCTTGGAACTTGACCTCTTGAGAGACACCGCGTGATATTGTGTAACAGTTCGCGTGACGTATTTAATATGTTCCGGATGTGGGGGTATCCATTTGTGGACTCGTGCTACGGTATAAACGTTACTATAAAGGCGAGATCTATTTTGACTTCTTACCACGGTTTGACTAAACAAATATGTCTACCGAAACAAACTGGCAAACAGCAAGACCCACTATCAGAGAAAGAGCCAAGTTTATGCTCAACAATGATCGCTTGAGCGATGTCAAGTTTGTTGCTGCAAACAGCAATGTAGAAAGCGGAAGTAAGCAAGTTATTCTGGCTCACAAATTCATACTGGCGATTGGCAGTCCTGTGTTTGAAGCCATGTTTTACGGTGAACTGGCGGAGACTAAAGAAACTATTGAACTGCCTGACTGTGATTACGAGAGTCTGTTGGAGTTGTTTCGTTATCTGTACAGTGATGAAGTGAATTTAAGCGGAAGCAACGTGATGGGGGTGTTATACTTGGCCAAGAAATACATTGTGCCTTCACTCACTGATAAATGCACGGAATACCTGAAAGAAAAGTTAGATCCTTCCAACGTTTTCAGCATCCTGCCATCTTCACAGAAATATGAAGAGAAAGCCCTGGAAGATCGGTGCTGGAAAGTGATTGAGAATCAGACAGAAGCGGCTGTGAAATCGAAAGGATTTGAGACAATTGAGAGGTCTTTACTTGAAGCAATAGTCACAAGAGACACTCTGACGATTAAGGAGATAGCTTTGTTTAAAGCTGTAGATGGCTGGGCAACAAAACAATGCGAGAAGCAAAGTTTAGCAGTAGGAGGTAAATTAAAAAGAAGAATTCTGGGCGAAGAAGTAATAAAAGCAATACGCTTTCCAGTGATGACTGCAGAGGAGTTGGCTGATGTTGTTCTTGATACCAATATTCTTCATACCAATGAAATAACCTCCCTTTTTAAGTTTTTCAACTCAGCATCGCCTTCTCCTGTGGCGTTTTCAGCTACTCTGAGACGTGTACAAGGTACTGCCCTTTGCGAGATTCACCGATGTGGAAGATTTCGATCGGTGAAAGAGAAAGACCTTTTAGCGTTATATATGGTTGTGGATCGAGACATCACTTTACATGGAGTCTGTTTGTTTGGCAGTAAAAACAACAGCTACACAGTGACATTGGAGGTGAAGGACACCACTAAAGGACCTAAAGACAGAACTGTAGTGTCTAAATCAGGAAAGTATCTATCAAAACTTTTGGGGAGCTATTATGGATATGAAGTCTTGTTCGACTCTGCCGCTTCTTTGAAAATGAATACCCGTTATCGAATTGAAGCGTTTATACGTGGCCCAGCATCTGAAAAAGGACATACTGGCATTCAAACTGTGACAAAGTGTGGCGTTACATTCACATTTGCTACGGGGTTTGGGTCATTCATTTTCGGTACAACAGTTGCTGCAGATCAATTTCCCGAATTTCTGTTTTCTTGTTAGGTTATAGAGTTACAATGAAACCTGTATTAGCGGACACCGTATTAAGCGGACACCCTCTGTTAAGCGGACAGTAGCCGAAGTCCCAAAATTTATTTCCCTTATTTACTTTAAATGAAACCTTTATTAAGCGGACACCTCTATTAAGCGGACGCGGACACCCTGTATTAAGCGGACACTACAGCATTCCCCGGGGATGTCCGCTCAATACAGGTTTCACTGTATAATATTTTCCCGCAAGTTCAGTCTGTTGGTCAGTCTGCGTACGCGGATTTAGAGACTTTTCACTATTGTTTCAGATCTTACTTCCGAGGAGTCATCAACCACTTTTACTTAGTCAGAACTTGTAGTGCAGTATTAAAATATTTAAATCTAGGTACCTCATATGCTTCAAAGAGCCGTCATCCAAGGAACACCATAGCTAATTTAATGTATTACTATAATATTATAATAATAATGTATTACTATGATTTATTATTCCTTCAAAATATTTTCCCAATTCTGATTGGCTAAAAGCACACGCATAATTCACCATAATCAGTTACTGATGACCAAATTTGGAAGAATTTTGTGTTTAACGAGGAAATGACGTCAAGAATGCAGATTGTAGGTTAAGGCACCGTTAACCGAGAAGACCTGGGGACGAGATTGAGTTGTGCAAGAGTAAGAACTACAGCTGCAACTAGGCGAAATAATGGCTAAAAACATAGCAAAAACAGCAAGAAGACAACTCGGAGGGCGACATCTGCTATTTGGAGAATATTTACAGAGCTGGATAAACCTAAACGTAAACTATCGAAGATAAACTTAACATCGATGGAGGTAAGCTTGTTTTAGCCATGTTTTCAAACTAGCAATTATTTTGAATGAATAATAAAACAATTATTGAATTCGGCTTTCGTATCTTACGAAGAATTATGGAGATCTCGGAGGGTGTTATCCGCCTCGGCCTACGGACTCGACGGATAACACCCTCCTCGATCTCCATAATTCTTCATAAGATACTCAGTCTCATTCATTAATTGTTAAATTTGTGCACCTTATTGATTACGTTGCTAAACATTGCTAGACTACGAGTAGTCCCCCATTTTTCGTCAGGGACAGTAGAGCGAGCGAAACGCGAGCGGGCGTGAAAATCACCCCACGCGTGTCGCCTTTTCTCGCGTGGGGTGATTTTCACGAGCGCTCGCGTTTCGCTCGCTCTACTATCCCTGAGGAAAAAAGGGGGACTACTCGTAGTCTAAACATTGCTAGCTAATTCATTCTTAGGCCCAATTGCCAGCCGCTCAGTTGTTATCCCCACTTCTCGGGGAGAACAAGACCAGACCCCAGAGCGGCAGAAATCCAGCGTAATTCACTCTTTACCTGAGTTTCGTTTCTGTAGTACGCACAAGGAGAAAGAGTGTCCCGCGGGACCTTGCAGTTGGTGACGACACCTTGTTACTGCTCAAAAAGGAAAAAATTGAGTTATGGTTCAAAAGGTAGCGCCGGTTACGGTAAAGTTATCGCGCAAACGTTGGTTCCCGCGTTTCTCAACGAGAAGTCATACCTGGTAACGCTTGCTGTACAGGCTATGAAAAAGGAAGTTTCGGGGTAAGAGGTAATGGTTATAAGATGTTTTTTCTTTCTCTTTCAATTCCATCTGAAAATTGGGTCCCATTTTATTGCGAAAACAACCGTGACAATAACCAAATGATCTAAACTCGTTATAGGGGAAAATAACCATCACAAATTGTCACGATTGCAAGTACATGAAGGAAATCAATGCATTCTTTGTCCCCAGCAAGAAAGTCTGCAAAACTACAAGAAAAAGCTAAAGTACATTTCGTGTTACTGATACCCTCTTTTCTTTTTCTGTAACCAATGTTTCATGGCTTGCTTTTCGATCCTAAACTATACCCTGCTGTTTTCGTGTTTTAACTCAAGTTACGACTGCAGTGGAATTTTAGCGTGGAGTCGAGCTGTGCCTCAACGAAAAAAAGTACTGTTTTCACATCCTTGGGGTAACAAATTAAAAATGAGACGGCCTGCACTTCCTTGTTTTTTGTTGGGAAAATAAACATGATGGTTCTCCGTTTCGTTTTCTTTTTCTTCTTTCTTTTTCCAAGCAGAAGAACATCACACTTTCCCATACTCTGCACGCTCGTATTAATGGGACAACTTGCGCAGATGACCAGATATCATAATGCGGGAAAACTCAATCCAATTTATTTCACCACCAAGCTAATGAGTTCACAATGTGTCTTGGATGTCGTTGAATCTCCTCCAGTTCATTCATGTGCTTTAATCTTCTTTTAACGTTTTTCTCTTTTCCAGTACCCTCCTTCAGTACAAGGAAATAGTGGCAGAATTTCTTTTCCTGGATACCAAATCTTCCTCTCCCGTGCATGCGGATCTTTTTATGTATCTTCCTTTGCCGACAAATGATTCCGCTACAAGAAATAAATGCAAAACAGCTGGGAAATGAGATTACATTTGTATCGTACAATGCGCTGACTTTTGCATTAGAGCCTTAAAAAAATTATTGTTTCCGGTCTGGTTCACAGGCCATTTCTCCATTGAATGGTGCTGAAACAAGACAGGAAACACACTAAATCAGAAAACGTGCTATGGCTGGTACACAGGGAGCACACAATTCTGGAGAGATTATCATCTGGGTCGGGAACAACTATTGCCCAAAGGCTGACATCTTCGGAAGGCAAAGCTTAGCGATCACAGCCCTGGTTGTTCAAAGTTTTGATAGCGCTATCACCCAGATAAAAATATATTCAGTGGATAACGCAACTGGATTCCGTAATAATTATCCGCTGGATCTAGTTATTTATCCAGCAGATAGTGCTATCCAACGATTGAACAACTGGACCCAGCCCTTTAACCTGCAGCAACAGCAAGATCAATCATTTTCAAGGGTTCTTACTGGACCCGATACTGGACTGAGAAACTGAACTCATCTGGACCCTGTTCACAACTGGGCTGTTCCATGACTTCACACTTATGCTTCTGCCATACTCAGTTTTAAAATGCCTGAACACGTAAATAGCCTTTGCCCAGAAAGAATCCTGATGTTAACAGCCTTCCCTTTTTGGTAATACACAGGCTAATACATATAATCCATGACCGAGTCCTTTGTGAGAGATTTAAGGCTTATTTTTTATTGTCACAACTGACGAAGTACATGATAAAATAAATTTTTCTTGTGAAATTGTTATAGTTGAAGGAAATGTGGGTCCATTTACAACCACCCTGGCTACACACAGATATGGACAGCTGAAATATCAAAAATTAATCTGGCATTCGTGCATAATAGTAATTAGTAAAATCCAACTAGTGGTCTATTATCAACGCTGCATTCTGATTGGTTGAGCTACTACTAGGCTATATGTTATAACTCACTAGTACCGAAAGCACGAGCTTTTTGGCAGCAAAAAAGGATTAAAGTCTGGCTTTAACTAGCTAAAGATTTTTTATTCTCGATATTTTTGACCAAGTAGTTGGATTTTATTGAAACAATTATTCCTCTCACCCTCATGGCCTCTGAGTCAATAGCCCATTCAGCTTTCGGCCTCATGGGCTATTGTCTCTGAGTCCATTCGGGATTGAGAAATAATTGTTAAATAGCAAGCTGGCGGCTGACCTATGCCATTGCTGTAATAGTTTTCTAGAGACAACGTATTGCAAAAGTTAAAGATTAAAGCGCTAAAGACTAGTTAGGTCATCTTGTTTCATACTCACTCTGAAGCTACTACAGGTTAACATACTTACCAATTCACAAATGTTTCTAGTCTTGACTGTCTTCTATTCCATGTTTCTCCTGAGCTATAGCCTGGGCATCTTCAATTGCCTAAATCAGAGAAGAATTATATAGCAACGACTACAAATTCTCTACAACATTAATGTAAAAATAGATGTGGAACTTTGAATTCAGAAGGGAAATTTTGCCTTAATATTTATTGTATTAGGGATATTATTGATGGACATGGCTGCCAAACTTACCTTTTTGATAAACATTGCTGGTCGTTCCTGAAAAATGATACCCTATTCTAGACCCAAACGCTCTGATTTATATACCCTATCCTAGAGTCGGGCCTAGAGTACCCTGGGTTCCAGAGGCTTTTCATGTGCGGTTTCCGGTTTCGGTCAAGTCGTAAAAAGTGACCGGCACGAAAAGCTTGTATCATTCTTTAGTACTAACCGCCGAGGTCAAATATTCATCTCGCGATGATAGCGCTTAAAACAGCACGGAACGGCGAAAAAAACATGACACATGACTCAGTTAACATTTCTTCAAACTTTTATTGAAAAATTTGCTTTAACTGCTGCATTTTGGAACAAATTATAGCCACCGCATTGTTCATATGTATTTGTTCTATAAAGAACAAAAGATTGTTGCTCAGATTTCAATCAACAACGGCCCCCACTAACAGAGGGTGGTTTGCCTGTGGTGTGTCCAGGCTGCCTTGGAACTTGACCTCTTGAGAGACACCGCGTGATATTGTGTAACAGTTCGCGTGACGTATTTAATATGTTCCGGATGTGGGGGTATCCATTTGTGGACTCGTGCTACGGTATAAACGTTACTATAAAGGCGAGATCTATTTTGACTTCTTACCACGGTTTGACTAAACAAATATGTCTACCGAAACAAACTGGCAAACAGCAAGACCCACTATCAGAGAAAGAGCCAAGTTTATGCTCAACAATGATCGCTTGAGCGATGTCAAGTTTGTTGCTGCAAACAGCAATGTAGAAAGCGGAAGTAAGCAAGTTATTCTGGCTCACAAATTCATACTGGCGATTGGCAGTCCTGTGTTTGAAGCCACGTTTTACGGTGAACTGGCGGAGACTAAAGAAACTATTGAACTGCCTGACTGTGATTACGAGAGTCTGTTGGAGTTGTTTCGTTATCTGTACAGTGATGAAGTCAGGGGCACCCAACGAGAATATAGTTCAAAACCACTTAAACATAGAATTGTTAAACTATTTTAGTATTTAAACGATAGATATAGGCATATTTTTATCCCCTAAAAGTTTTTCATCTGTTCGGATTTCCTAGCTGAAAGTCAAGTTATCCGAAAATTATAGTGATCAAAACTTACCTTTTCGAAAATTTTAGCCACAAAAAAGGCTCCCGAAAATTCTAGGTGATCTTTTTAGGTTAAAAATCCGTTAAAAATAGGCAATTATACCATTTTCTAGATGTCCGAAAATCCTAGGAGAGACAGGCAAGCAAGAAATTTTACAACAAATGTTCCGAAAATTCTAGATCTTAAATCGTCTTCCGAACAGATATTTCTCCGAAAATTGTCGTTGGGTGCCCCTGATGAAGTGAATTTAAGCGGAAGCAACGTGATGGGGGTGTTATACTTGGCCAAGAAATACATTGTGCCTTCACTCACTGATAAATGCACGGAATACCTGAAAGAAAAGTTAGATCCTTCCAACGTTTTCAGCATCCTGCCATCTTCACAGAAATATGAAGAGAAAGCCCTGGAAGATCGGTGCTGGAAAGTGATTGAGAATCAGACAGAGGCGGCTGTGAAATCGAAAGGATTTGAGACAATTGAGAGGTCTCTACTTGAAGCAATAGTCACAAGAGACACTCTGACGATTAAGGAGATAGCTTTGTTTAAAGCTGTAGATGGCTGGGCAACAAAACAATGCGAGAAGCAAAGTTTAGCAGTAGGAGGTAAATTAAAAAGAAGAATTCTGGGCGAAGAAGTAATAAAAGCAATACGCTTTCCAGTGATGACTGCAGAGGAGTTGGCTGATGTTGTTCTTGATACCAATATTCTTCATACCAATGAAATAACCTCCCTTTTTAAGTTTTTCAACTCAGCATCGCCTTCTCCTGTGGCGTTTTCAGCTACTCTGAGACGTGTACAAGGTACTGCCCTTCGCGAGATTCACCGATGTGGAAGGTTTCGATCGGTGAAAGAGAAAGACCTTTTAGCGTTATATATGGTTGTGGATCGAGACATCACTTTACATGGAGTCTGTTTGTTTGGCAGTAAAAACAACAGCTACACAGTGACATTGGAGGTGCAGGACACCACTAAAGGACCTAAAGACACAACTGTAGTGTCTAAATCAGGAAAGTATCTATCAAAACTTTTGGGGAGCTATTATGGATATGAAGTCTTGTTCGACTCTGCCGCTTCTTTGAAAATGAATACCCGTTATCGAATTGAAGCGTTTATACGTGGCCCGGCATCTGAAAAAGGACATACTGGCATTCAAACTGTGACAAAGTGTGGCGTTACATTCACATTTGCTACGGGGTATGGGTCATTCATTTTCGGTACAACAGTTGCTACAGGTCAATTTCCCGAATTTCTGTTTTCTTGTTAGGTTATAGAGTTACAGTGAAACCTGTATTAAGCGGACACCGCATTAGGCGGACACCCTCTATTAAGCGGACAGTAGCCGAAGTCCCAAAATTTATTTCCCTTATTTACTTTAAATGAAACCTTTATTAAGCGGACACCTCTATTAAGCGGACGCGGACACTACAGCATTCCCCGGGGATGTCCGCTCAATACAGGTTTCACTGTATAATATTTTCCCGCAAGTTCAGTCTGTTGGTCAGTCTGCGTACGCGGATTTAGAGACTTTTCACTATTGTTTCAGATCTTACTTCCGAGGAGTCATCAACCACTTTTACTTAGTCAGAACTTGAAGTGCAGTATTAAAACATTTAAATGTAGGTACCTCATACTTACTTAGGAGTGCTCATTAAGACATAGCCGGCTTGAAACAGCCGTCATCCAAGGAACACCATAGCTAATTTGCTTCATTTATAATGTATTACTATGATTTATTATTCCTTCAAAATATTTCCCAATTCTGATTGGCTAAAAGCACACGCATAATTCACCATAATCAGTTACTGATGACCAAATTTGGAAGAATTTTGTGTTTAACGAGGAAATGACGTCAAGAATGCAGATTCTTGCAGGTTAAGGCACCGTTAACCGAGAAGACCTGGGTACGAGATTGAGTTGTTTTCGTTTTTAAAAACTAAAATGGCGGGCACTTCACTCGTTGCAAGAGTAAGAACTACAGCTGGAACTAGGCGAAACAATGGCTAAAAACATAGCAAAAAAAGCAAGAAGACAACTCGGAGGGCGACATCTGCTATTTGGAGAATATTTGCGGAGCTGGATAAACCTAAACGTAAACTATCGAAGATAAACTTAACATCGACGGAGGTAAGCTTGTTTTAGCCATGTTTTTAAACTAGGAATTATTTTGAATGAATAATAAAACAATTATTGAATTCGGCTTTCGTATCTGACGAAGAATTATGGAGATCTCGGAGGGTGTTATCCGCCTCGGCCTACGGACTCGACGGATAACAACCTCCTCGATCTCCATAATTTTTCATAAGATACTCAGCCTCATTCATTAATTGCTAAATAGAGCGGTTTTCTCTTGACTGTCGAAAGGATTGGTTTTGGTTTTGGTTTTGGTTTTACTACGCCCTTTGGTTGGCTAGTGTATTTACTTTGGTTTTGGTTTTACGACAGTCAAGTGAAAACCGATCTATGTGCACCTTATTGATTACGTTGCTAAACATTGCTAGACTACGAGTAGTCCCCCATTTTTCCTCAGGGATAGCAGAGCGAGCGAAACGCGAGCGGGCGTGAAAATCACCCCACGCGTGTCGCCTTTTCTCGCGTGGGGTGATTTTCACGCGCGCTCGCGTTTCGCTCGCTCTACTATCCCTGAGGAAAAAAGGGGGACTACTTGTAGTCTAAACATTGCTAGCTAATTCATTCTTAGGCCCAATTGCCAGCCGCTCAGTTGTTATCCCCACTTCTCGGGGAGAACAAGACCAGACCCCAGAGCGGCAGAAATCCAGCGTAATTCACTCTTTACGAGAGTTTCGTTTCTGTAGTACGCACAAGGAGAAAGAGTGTCCCGCGGGACCTTGCAGTTGGAGACGACACCTTGTTACTGCTCAAAAAGGAAAAAATTGAGTTATGGTTCAAAAGGTAGCGCCGGTTACGGTAAAGTTATCGCGCAAACGTTGGTTCCCGCGTTTCTCAACGAGAAGTCATACATGGAAACGCTTACTGTACAGGCTATGAAAACGGAAGTTTCTGGGTAAGAGGTAATGGTTATAAGATGTTTTTTCTTTCTCTTTCAGTTCCATCTGAAAATTGGGTCCCATTTTATTGCGAAAACAACCGTGACAATAACCAAATAATCTAAACTCGTTATAGGGGAAAATAACCATCACAAATTGTCACGATTGCAAGTACATGAAGGAAATCAATGGCTTCATGGCTTCCTTTTCGATCCTAAACTATACCCTGCTGTTTTCGTGTTTTAACTGCAGTGGAATTTTAGCGTGGAGTCGAGCTGTGCCTCAACGAAAAAAGTACTGTTTTCACATCCTTGGGGTAACAAATTAAAAATGAGACGGCCTGCACTTCCTTGTTTTTTGTTGGGAAGATAAACATGGTGGTTCTCCATTTCCTTTTCTTTTTCTTCTTTCTTTTTCCAAGTAGAAGAACATCACACTTTCCCATACTTTGCACGCTCGTATTAATGGGGCAACTTACGCAGATGACCA